AGCAAAATCCCTTTGAGAAGGGGTTCTTGCCAGTTTGAGGAGCAAATATTTGTGGACCCAATAACTTCCCAGAGTGAGGAATGGGTCAGGATCCAATGAAGGAGGCAGAAAAAAAACCTCTCCCTGGAAGCAGGAGCCAGAGACAGAGAAGCCTCAAGCATCTGAACTGGTAAGGTCTGAAAGGAAAGCTGGGTCTAAGAAAGTAAAGTCCTTAAAAAGACAATTTCTATGTTGAAAATGGAAGAAGCCACAATGACACAGTGCTTCTGGGTACCATAAAATGTTATTCCTATGAATAATATGTTTAATTTTTGTTAAAAATTTTGTTCGTTTTTATTTGCATACAAATAATTTTTTTCACTGATGATTTCAGTTTTGTTTATCCTTTTTGGGAGAGATCAGGATAAGACAGACTTGGAGAAAGAAGAGATCAAGAAAATAGATAAAGGCCATAGAACAGAGGTTGGGGGAATCTTTGAATCAAAGTAGAGAGCCTTCAGAGCCATCCAATCTGGTACTTACAATAACACCAAAAGAGATGGTTCCAGATGAGAAAAGTCCACAGAGGCTTGAAGATACTGCACAATGGCAGCACATTCAGATGCTGGAGAGAAAATCTTCAGCTACAGGCCGACTCGTCAGACTGGATATTGGATGTGTATTCTTAAGGATCAATTACTGACTAAAGGTCTATATGATAAAGTAGAAATGCAGATCCTGTTTAGTGTTGTCTTAGAACAAGGTCATACAGTGGCTGGTGTGTTCCATTTTACAGTTTGGAGAACTGAAATTCATGCACCATGCCATAGATTCATATTCAGAATTCCAATGGGCTTTTGCCTTAAATTCTGGAAAGCATGATCGTAAGGTTACACATTCGTTAGAGATGGTAAATGTTTTGGAGATGCCCTTGCAAATTGGGGCTGATGGTGCTTCAGCATGTATATCCAGCATGTATATTGGAATTCAACAATATTTTAGACGTTATGCCATGAAACCTGTTTTAGATATAATTTATAATCCTACAGGTCAAACAATTTTGAAAATATCTAACAGTAATTTTTAAAAGATGGTCATAAAACAGAAGGGAAATATATCTCCCAAAAATAGATTAACTAATGATTTATCAATTTTAAAATGTTTAAATAAGATAAGAGGCACATCTCGTAAGACACAGTGGAATTTAGAAAGGACTGCTGAATTAGAGCAGCTTGTAAAAGTCCTAATTCCAAAATGGAGAACAGGGAATGTGTTATGCTGGGGAAGAAGTTTTACGTATGTTCATACAGGAGAAGAGAAATTACGGGTTCTATCAAAACTAATAAAAACCAGAAATGACAGAGGAAGACCACCAGAAGATCTTGGCCACACACAAGAAGAGAGAAATCAAGAAGACTAAACAGAACAGGTAACATACAGTGCTGATCCCTTCACATGGGAACAACTCTGGAACTGACTGAGACATAAAAAATGTCTCTAGCCAGATCTTCAATAATACATGGCCAATAAATCCTTGGCTATAATATCCTCAAAATTTATTATGCCATTCTTTCAATTGGCGTAGATAAAATTAATTCACAGTTTAGTTTCACCAAGCACATCTCATACATTTATAATTTTAGGACTGTATAATGCTTGTGAGAAATTATGTGTTTGCAGAACAAAAGGACTAGATATCGGAGACACTGGATCAAACCTGACAGACTTCATCTTTCCAGCATGCTGAGACATTGATATGTCTGTTCCAGCATCTTGCATGTTCCAGCATTCTGCTTGTTCCTACCTCAACTGCTTCAACTACTGTTTCTCATCAATGTCTGCTCCCAAGAGAGCTTTGAAGAAAGCTTCTATTCTCAATTGGTCCGTCATTTTAGACTGTTCCAAACAGCACTTCTATTAACCCAGAAATTTCTCAACATTCAAAGACTGGACCACAAATGTTAATGCTTGCTTAATTAACCATTTTTCCCAATTTCCTTTGGGCCCCCTAACAGGATTTCTGTGTGTCCAAAAAGTCAGCTAAAAAAAAAAAATTCAAGAGAATGACATCTAATTTCTTTTTAGGGGGGTTAGGTAGGTTTTTGGTTGTTTTCTGTGGCTATGCTTATTGTCATTGGGAGATGGTTATAAATTATTAATGGTCTTATTAATGGACTAAGGGATTTCTCTCTTTTCCTTTTTCTTTTCTCTATGTTTCTTTCTTAGATAAGGAAAAAAAGGGTTGAAAAGAAAGGGGAATACAGTGCTATCTTATAGGAATAATAAGATAAAAGGTATATTATTTAATATACTCAAGGTTTTATTTGTTATTCTCAAATAAGGTTATTTTAAACTCTGGTATAGGATTCTATATGTTGATGCAAAAATAAGTCTATTTTTAATACATTGGTAAATTTTAGTGTATTGATATAAATTCAAGGTTACTTCCAATACTTTTAAACTGCTATTACAATGTAATGCAAGTTAATTGCTAATCAACTCAGTCATCTCAGACACTAGTCTAATTTTTCACAGAAGTATACATCTAACAGATAGATATGATTTTGTAGACAGGTCAAATAAATAAAGATAGGTATGTCTTCAAAAACCTCAGAGACCTACAGAATATGGCATTTTAAAATGTCTTTATTATTTTAAAGATTCTTTGACAATGAGACAGGTGATCTCCTGGCAGCACCCCGCCTACCTCAAAGAAGATGATGAACATCAGAAAACCTCCATGTGGAGATGGCTTCAAATGTGGCAAATTAGCCAACTGGGCAGACAGACAGAATTCTGCCAAAAATGGGCAAGCTTAAATGCAGGACAAGTCGACTGCTGAACTCTGCCAATACAGGGTAAGCAAGTCCTAAATAGTTCCTGCTTCATATATATGTCTGTCAAATATACTGAGCTGGAAGGGTGAAGAGTTATGGGTGACTGTTCAGGCAACAAACTGTCTCTGTCAATTTTGTATTTTTTTGGAAGCTGCTAACATGCACTTCCTATTTACTCCAGTAACTAATTTTATTCCTTCTCAGGTCTCTGGTGGGGTTGAAGAGCAAATAGTTATTGTTCCACAACTAAGCTTAAGTTGTTTAGAATTTAAGAAAATGTTTTTAGAAAGGTAATACCAATGAGGATAAAAGTTAATTTAGGTATGGAACTCTAAGCTTCTCAAGACAGGATAATCAGATACTTTCTCCTAAGTTGCCAAATACACGTGGACTGGACATTATACATGTAAATCTTACCTAATAGTTTTCATAACTTTTATAATTATTATTGTATTGAAAGAAAAGGAGCCTTTTATTGGACTTAAAGGGGGAAATGGTGGTATAATGTTCATGAAGAATGTATTCAATTTACCCTTGTTCATTCAAATGCTGGTATCTCTACCCCACGATCTGGTTTCAATCCAGACATTGCATTGTGATGCTTATTCTAAGCAAAACCTGTCTGAAGTTTGTAAACATGCTGCCATTTGTTCTCTGTATTGTCAATAAAACAACCAGCCCCAATGCTGAGCAATGGAGAGAATAGGGTGGGACATTCTGGTCTGGAGGGGAGGAAAAGAAAGCGAGTGTGTGTTAGGGGGAGCAGAGATCAGCAGGACAGGACTTGGAACCAGGAGGAGAAATGAACCGGACCTAAGATATGACTAAATGCAGTATAATGGGTGAGATCTGAACGGTAGTAAGATATGCCAACTTGGAGGTTTAGGATGGAGTAACTATCACCCAGCATTGTGCCCTCGGTTAATTAAGTATATCCTATTTGGGTATACAGCTGATTTAGGAATAACTGTTGCTTAATTAAAAGATAAATCAGTAACAAATGTTAATATCCAACAACACTTCTGTAAGAAAGCAAGCCAATAAGCAGCACCCTTCCATGGCCTCTGCCTCAGTTCCTGCCCTAACTCCTTTTGGTGATGAACAGTACTGTGGAAGCATAAGCCAAATAAATGCTTTTCTTCTCAAGTTGCTTTGGTCATGATGTTTCATTGCAGCAACAGAAACATACCCTAAGAGAGGTATGTTATCGTGGACACTCACTGTCATTTCCGATAACCTGACGTTTCAGATAAACCTGACCTGTGATAATACTTTCTTTTTAATATTTAAGAATTTTCACCCAGGTAAAAGCTATTAATGAATCGAGTTAGCACCCTTGACCTCGATTATACCAGGGCTTGTATTTCTATATTTGGTTATATCCTATAATTGGCGAAATTATAATTTAACAGGCTGGGGACATGTTTTCCACAGGCAAAGTGTTTGGTGTACAATTATGAGGATTGGAGACCAGATCTTCAGCACCCATGTTTTTAAGAAAAGTCTTTTGGTGGCTCACACCTGTGAGGTGGTTTGTGCAAGAATGGCCCCCTCCGCTGTGATGGCACTGTTGAGACCTGGGTGGGAGGTAAGGGGTGAGGACAGCCGAAGGGAGTGTCTTGGGAGATTGATCTTTCTCTGGCTCCTTCTTCCAACCCTTTGTCTGCTTCTCTGGTCTACGCGACCTGAGCTGTTGCAGCACACCCTCCCCAGGAAATCTTTCCTCTTTTTAAGTTTTTATGTTGGTCATTCTGTCACGGTAACGAGGAAACATATATACTACAGTTTGCAACTGTTTCAGTCATTATAAAAGGCATTACATGTTCTTTTTTATCAAGAAATCAACAGAAATCTGTTAAAACTAAAACTTCTAAAAGTTCCAGTAAATTTTCTTTTTTTAAAATAATTTATTTAATTTCATTTTATGTGCATTAGTGTAAAGGTGCCAGATTGATTGAAACTGGCACTACAGACAGTTGTGAGCTGCCATGTGAGTGCTGGGAATTGAACCAGGATCCTTTGGAAGAGCAGACAGAGCTCTTAACCACTGAGCCATCTCTCCAGCCCAGTAAATTTTCTTTTATTCAAATTAACTTACATCCTAAAAAACTTCACAAACAAGTTCCTATATTTTACTAATAATGATTAATCTAATATGAAAAAGAAAACAAAGACTTGTATTGTTTTTAATGAAGTTGTATTTTAATAGAAACATAGCCTATACTGTTCATTGAAAAATCATTTTATTATAAACAACACTTATACACAAAACCAAATAATGTTGATATTACAGTTCTAAAAAAATTCTTGGTTTATCTAAAACAGTCATGATGCAACCTCAACAGTGATGGCTTCACATTTTCCAGTCTCTTGGTCTGTGCACGTCACCTGTAAAGATCCATCCCTAAAGAAAAAAAGAAATAAATTACATTTCATAAGCTCAGTTTATACATACACAGTCTTTGAGGAGGACTTTGAAAATTTCAAAAGAAGTTTATTAAAATAAAGATTAAACACAAGTCCAGTGTCTTTAAATTTGGCACGTGCTGTTTCTAGGAGGCTCTTTGATTTTCTTCTAGAACTCTAAGACCTTAACTATATTCCTTGGAAATTCAATGATATAAGCTTAAGACTTTATACAAGCTCAAGACAGGTCATGCTAACTCCAAACCCAGGCCATGGCAAGCCCATCCTCATGAGGTTGATATTCTAGTATGGTTTACAGAATATATTGTTCCTAAAGTTAAATGAGAATTATTTACTTGAAATAAACAATGGTAAAGATGGCCCACTAGTAAAGAAATGCACTAGCTGAATCAGTAATGAATTTCCTAGAGCTTTTCCATAGAGATAAAAAAGGGCCATAGAAGAAACAATGTTGCTAGTTACTTGGCCTATACTCCTTTCTAAAGCATAAGATCTCACTGCGGAAATGTGATCCACTAGGAAAATTGCTACAGCATTTTAACAAATAACTTGCCTAGAATGATAATAGTTAGCTACACTCTAAAGGGACCAGGTTTCAGAGACTCTTCGTAATATTGCAAATACTTAATTTTGTACCTTTTCATAGTAAGCACAGCTAATATATCACGTAATCCATTTTCTTTTTTATCTAAATCCTGGAGCACAACCTGTTCAAGGAAAACAAACAAACAAACACAAAGGTAATTCAGTATTTTTTTACTGTAAAGGATCAAAGTTTAGTTTTTAATCAAAACAAACCTTTAAAATGCCAACAGTTTTCAACTCTCCTACCATTTAAAGAGAATTCAAAGATTAGGGAGTTAAGCCTTGTTATGTACAAATACCTCCTTTAGAGGGAGGACAAAGAAGACAACATATTTGTCCCTCTTTTAGGCCACAACTAATTAGCATGATTGTTGCTAAGAAGTATTGTCCTCAAAAACCAGACCACTTCAAGGGAAGTAATTAAGCCACTCCCTATAGTAACACAGATAACCCTCAAACACACTTTCCGTGTATATTTAGAGTGCTACCCATTTGAAAGAAATACACAGGATTTTGGGGTAACACTTGTCAGTATGAGGGGTTAGGAGTCCAGCGTTGCTGCCCAGCCTGTCAAGATCAAGGTTAATGACTTTATAAGCCACTGTCCTGTGACTCAGTTGGAAAGGAGGCGAAAACAGATGGGATCACAGAAACATTCCCCTGGAAACTCAGAGTGTAGACACAGAACATTTGCAATTTTCTTTTTCTTATTTTCTGTGTATAGCCCTGGTTGTCCTCAAACTCAGAGATCCACCTGCTTCCTCCTCCAATGCTGAGATCAAACATGTGTGTCACCAATGCCCAGCCTACAACTTTCTTTTAAAAAAAATAGATGGGCCAAGAGCAAAGAGAAGCAGTATAAACATAAAATTATTTCGTTCTTATTTTTTCATAATGCTTTCAAAAGAAAAATCACTTTTCCCCCCTTATTTTCAAAAAATGAGTAATTATAAGTAATTTATTCATAAGAATGTTACCATAGCCGGTGTGGTGGCACAGGCCTTTAATCCCAGCACTTGAGAGGCAAAGGCAGGGGGATCACTGTGAGTTCGAGACCAGCCTGGTCTACAAAGTGAGTCCAGGAAACCCAAGGCTATACAGAGAAACCCTGTCTCGAAAGATCAAAAAAAACAAAAAAAAAAAACCAAAAAAAAAAAAAAAACCCAAAACACACACACACACACAAAAAGAATATTACCAGACTACATATATTAACTGAATTGACTTCAGAAGGAAAAGCGAAATATTTGCCTACAGCAAAGCTGTAGTGTCCAGTTTGGTGTATTTACCTGTGCAAACTTGGTTTCCTCTTTAGCAGAGTTCTTTCCCTCGGACTCATAGAGTTCAAGGCAGACAGAAGATATACTGCCAGGGGCCTGCAGTGTGTGCTGTCTTCGAGCTGGCAGCGGCGTCCCGGATGGAAACAGTACTGTGAATCTGTTGGCCCCTGATTCATCGACCCCCTAAGAAGCAGGAAAGCAAGATGAGTACTCTGGTTTTTATCTTTACAACTGAAAATAGTCCTTGTGTCTCCTGCTGTAAGAGAAATATATAGTACTCACTGACAATCTGGAAAGCAGGCACAACACCCAATTCCAGCCCTTTGTTTAATTACATACTGATACATAGTTCTCTCATATGCTAGAAGCTGGTGTTTAAAACTATACTTTCATCTTCTCAGCAAGTTAACATGTTCCATAGATATTAAGTGAAACAACATAAAGAGCCCATAAAGATATAATCACTGGTCTAAATTTAAAGTTCTTCCTGTATTTGCCACAGGACTTATTATACATAACAACAGAAATGAAAACTTACAGCAATTAATTTGTACTACCTTTCTGTAAATGCATGGAAAACTAAACCCACCTTCACTAAAATATCCTTGGCTGAACACTCTATCATGAGAGAGTCATCCCCTGACATGCTCTCTTTCCCAGCAAGAATCCCGGCTTCCATGGCTGCACCGATAGGGATGACCTCATCTGGAGGAATGGAGTTGAGAAGCTCCACAGCTGGGAAGAGGTCCTTAATCAGCTGCTGTAGCCTGGGGATTCTTGAAGATCCACCACACAGCACAACCTGAAACACGAGGAGCAGGATGAGCCATCTGCATCACATGAGACCTTCTTTGATATGTTACTTGACATACAAACATACTTACCATATCTTTTCCTCTCAACAACGTTAAGATACAGAATCTCACTATAAAATACAGTACAGCAATACATACAGAGCTTATGAGCGATGTACAAAGTTTAAGCCTGAAGTCAACTGAACAGCAAGTAATTAACCTTCTGTACTACCCCAACATTTTATAAGAAGTGTTTACACACAGTTTTGTAACTAATATTGTTAATCTATCCATAAGAAAACTACACTACACATTTGTTTGCCCGAAGCATGGAAAAAGAGCAAGGACCTTGAGAAATAAAGATGTTTTATGATTGTAGAAAACCCCGTTTTAAGCTCTTGGTTTGCTTTCTGACTACTCTCCTATCTGGAGAACTTCATGTATAGCTTACTCTTTAAATCCCCAGGTCTCACCCTCACTCATCCAATTATCATCCTGGACACGGAGAGTGCTGAACACACAGCTCGGGAAGGGAAATCTGATAATCTTTTAATGCAGGCTCTCAAAGTTCAACGTGACAGAAGCTCAGCACACTAGTGCTCTTAGGTAAAGGGGATGAGACAAGGGATACCATGACAATCTGCAAGTGAGGGGATAAGAAATACCAGGGTTGTTTGTCTTTTTAAAGTGGGTTTGCCTTTAAGAAGGACATATTTTCCTAAAATCTTACCATCTTAGTAAATACTCACAGAACAAAAAATATAGAATGTCTTTTAAAAATTCCCATTTAACAAAAAAACTGAAAAATTGTCTTAATATTTCATTTTAGGTTGAAAAGCATATAGTGTTACTATTGGCAGTAAATAGTCAACTAATAAAAAAACTAGGTTTTAGTTTAAATTATTTAAGTAATGAATTTGAGAAATGAGATTTCTTCTGTAAACTTGAAATTTGAATAGAAAATAGTTTTCTGTTTGTAATACGCCTTCTGTACAGTAACATAGTTCACTGAAGGCAGGACTTGAGGGCGGCTGAGGGGTAAAGATGGTTTCATGTAGCCCAGGCTCAGTCAAACTCAGAATTACAAGGATTACCTTGTAATTCTGCCTCCACCCTCCCAAGGACTAGAATTACTGGCATGCACCAGCCCACAATGCTAATTATCTGTCCTTTTTTTCTTTTTTTGTTTTTCCAGACAGGGTTTACTGTGTAGACCAGGATGCCTTGAACTCACAGAGATCAGCCTGCCTCTGAATTATCTGTTCTTACTACTACAGGTTTCAGTGTTTTGTAAAATAAAAACACCTGGAAAACTAAACCCACCTTAGTAGGTGTAGCTACTAAGAAAATGTAGCTAGTGCCCATCTTTTAGTGCTTTGGTGAGGATTAACTGTTTTAAGGCCTATAAAGCCCAGTGGTCCACTCCTGTCCCTGGAAGGTGACTGGCCACCCGTCCGGTCTGTCTAGGAGCCTGACCCTGTCGCACATCTCTGCAGAAGCACCGGGAGGGGCAGATGTTCTCCCGTGTGCATCCTCTTTATGACTCCACGGGCTGGGAAGTGCACATGGTTGCTCCCTTAGCCTACATGCTGTAATTGTAAAGCCACTGTCTGCTACTCACATGCAAGCTGGGAAGGACACGAATGTCTGCTCTAAAATGCACGGAGAGGGGAGAGCTTACTACAGGTGAAAGATGGTTTCGGGTTTTTAATTCTTAAAAGCCTGTATATCCACAGCAACAATCTAAGGCTTCAGAATGTCCAATCTCAATTCAAGCAATTCAGAGTTGTACTGCAGTGACAATTAAATGACAGACCCCATGACAAATGAAGAAGGGGACCGACACTAACTGACCATCCACAGCATGCTTCAGATGGTTCCCCAGGTTACATCCCAGTCACTGTCCCCACAGGCCAACTTCTACGGTGAAGTACTGCCCCTTTCTTACAAGAGAGAAAGGAAGGTGCAGACAACTAAGCTGCTGCTGTGCAGCTGTTCCCACTGATCTGCAGGGGAAAACTCGGGAAACTCGGGAAGCTCAGGAGCTCCCTAAGCTCAGAGTCCACCCCAGGCCATGGAGGAGTACACTTAGTGGGGACAGCAGGCAGAGTGGGAGGGCTGCTACAAACAACAGGGTGCTCCCGGGGCGCAGAGCTGTCATCCACGCTGGTGAGAGTTTTCTTAGGATGCAGCTGCCCAGGAGCGGCCCATCCTCCTGTAAGCTATCCCCTCAAATTCAGGAATGCCACTAGGTTAAATCTTGCTGGTTCTCACTAACCTCAAGATCCTCAGGACATCACTTCATCTGTGGACTTCAGTGTTCCAACTTATCACATTGGGGTAGATGACAGTGCCTCCCCCCGGCTGACTGCTAGTGCTCAGCTGCACAAGTGCCCGGTGCACAGGGCACACTTTATTATCTGTCTGCTTTACACAGGTAAACATACACCGGAAGGGAATTATTCTGGGCTTTCTTTTTTGTGAAAAACAGAATATACACATACGTGTGAGTTCGCCAGATCATTAAATATTAACAAAAGTTCCGAAACATGAATAAAATATTGTTCTACACCATTATCTTTTACGTTTTAAATCTGAAATTGTCCCTAAAACAAATTAGGAAAGACAAAGTGTTACCTTGTTAATATCATCTGCTGTAAATCCACTTTGACGTAAGAGTTCTCGGACTGCTTCTATACATTTGTTAAAAAGCGGAGAACAAAGAAGTTCAAATCTTGCTCTGCACTCACAGACGTGAACATGGGATGAACATGGGACGGAGAGAAGAGGGCAAAGACTTAGTGCAGTCTGGCTTCTCGGAAGAGTAACAGGTTATTAAACAGTGTCTCTGTGTGTATTCCCGAGTTAGTTACCTACATGACTGAAGATATTTAATAGCCAATGCAAAGGGAGGGTTGTCTTGCTCACGGCTAACCCCTAAGTCCCAAAGAATAGCTAAGAAGATACACAAATACGTGGCATGGCCAGCGGTAAATCTACCAATCCTATTACCATTTGAACCATTTTGCTATTTTCACAGGTCCAAGTTTTATTATTCCTAGCTACTTCCCTTTATAGCCTGAGATCATGTTATAAGAATATCCAGTCTGTACTAAGGAAGTTGTAAACTGACATGTAATGTTGAGACAGACTCCTCAACTGTACTGCCTCATTTCATATTCAACTGTTTTTTTTTTTTTAAGTTACTACATTTTACTAACGAATAGCAACAAAACCTCAAAAATTGCCATTAAAGTTCTACAACTTGCCAAGAGTGGTGGCTCTCTTCTTTAATCTCTGTGTATTTGATTCCTTTATATTTACTTATTTCTATGTGTGTGCACAGTGCACAGGTAAAGACAGAGAACTACTTAGGGGCATTGATTCTTCCATCATGTGGGTCTCAGAGCTCAAACTCAGATCATTAAACACCTTTACCTGCTGAGCCCTCTTGTTGACCCACACTTAATTTCTTAAATGCAGGTGAATGATTTCAAATTTTCTTACCTAAAAATACTTTATGGTTGAAATATTGTAGATAATTTTTCCTTAATGAAAAGTGACAAACTTCATTTCATTTCTATATAGATAAGAATAAGCAAACATACACCGAGTATTTGAAGATACTTGGGACTAAGGCATTCTGGAAATAGAAACCTCTAAAAAGACTTTAATGCACTTTAATATATTTTCTGTCCTTTGGGCTGTGCTAAAGACCTAGCCACTAGCCACAAGAGCTCCCAAGGAACAGAGTCTGTAAAGTTTTCTTCTGACGAACACGACTTTAATAAACATCACGAGGCAGGATTTTTAGAAAAGCCAAGAGAAGGGAGGATGCTTGACTATAAAAAAGATAGGGGAGAAGGTGCCCAAAACCAGTCAAGAGAATCCAAAAGCCGCAACTCGGAGAGCCAGGGAATCCTAACTGCGCTTCAAGGCAGCGTGTTGTCAGGCTGTTGGGAAGCTGCAACAGGCTAACTAGAGTTGCTGCAGCAGATGTGCACTGGGAGAGGGAGGAACAGCATCCAATCATCTGCACGTGTGCTTCTGGTGCAGGTGCAATCACTGTAAGCCGTGTCTTGGGTCATTTAAAAGACATGGCCACTAAGTGCTTCTTTATGCACATTTTAAAAATGTCATAGATGATTAAAATCTCAAGTATTGGCTAGGGATGTGCTCAGCTGGTAGAGCGCTTAGCAGGTATGCAGTCCTGGGCTCTACTACTGTATGAACTGGCACTGTGGTACATGCCTGTAGTCCCAGGACTGAGGAAGTAGATGCAGAAGGGCCAAGAGTTCTAGGTCCTCCTCAGTGACGATGAGTTTGACGCTAATCTGGGCTATATGAGACCCTGTCTTAAAATACAAAACAAAGGGTTGGGGAGATGGTTCGGTGGTCAAGAGCACTTGTTCTGCAAGAGTGAGGACCTAAGTTTGAGTCCTCAGCGCCCATGTAACAAACTGGGCATGGCAGCATATGCCTGTAACACCAGTATTAGGGTGTTACAGTAAGGGGGACCATGGATAAATCTCCTGAGAGTGCTCTTAGGCCAGCTAGCCTAGCCAAAACCGTGAGCACAAGACAGATGCCAGTCTTCAGTAAAGAGCAATAGTCAGAGAGCAAGATCTCTGGAATCAAACTTTAACAATTACTTAGTCTAATAAAAAAAATTGAGTTCCAAATCTGGAGACAGTGAAGTTCCCTGACTACAGATAACCAAAGACAGAAAGAAAAGCTGCACACTGGAAAATCACACACAGAATGTCTGAACTGTCTTTCATATATCAGTTTTACCTGGACACATTGCAGTCAAAATCTTGACCTTCATACAATGAATCTACGAAACAATTCGCACTTCCCAAAGTTGACAAAGAATGTTTGGCCACTTCAGCACTGTTCATCAATTTCATCATGGCTCGGGCATTTCCCCTCACGTCATGTTTGAACAACCTAAAAACAGAACATTTGAAGTCTAAAGGTCCTGAGTCATTTGTAATTTAAGGAAAATCTAACTACCATTACAGCAATATGCATTAACCAAAAGGTAGTAATGTGGCTTCCAATGCTATTGAACTTTTCTAAGCATACTGTCTGGAACAGACAGCCAACTTTTATACTATTTTGAATGGCATGTAAGCATGATAAACTGTACTTTGATATCAGAGTCTATCGCAGGTGTGACAATCAGACCAGAGCGTATATGTGTCGCCTTTACAATCAACACCATCACTGTGCATGGTGTAAGCTAGGCACGGTGTGATACTGACAGTTCCAGGTGCTTCCTCATGCACAAAAAACTCAGTCTCTCGTCTCCGCTGTGGGTTACTTTAAATAATGATCAATTGTTTTGTTAAGCAATACCTTTATAATAAAAAGCAGGGCATGTTTTTACTGCATGTGGAAATTAACCCTTAAAAAAAAAAATCAAGCTGTCTTCACCTTTCGTGCCCCCTGCCCTGCCTTGCAGGTGCTGGGATTGCAAGTGTGTACTGCTGTGCCTGGCTTAAAAGGCACACTGTGCTGCTGATGACTTGGCACCTGCTTCCGAGGAAAGGAAGGCATCTGGCTTCAACACGAAGAGAAAAAGACTCTTCCTTTGTCCCAGGATAGTTTAAAGCACTGGGACTAAGACACGGCTCAGCCTTTGAAAGTGTATTAGACCTGAGTTCAGTTCCTCTACAGGGGCTGAGCTATGTCTCCAGCCACAAACATCTTAAAAAGAAAAGGCAAGAAATTAGAACACCAAACCAAATCAAGCCAACGAAACCACTGAAGCCTTGACGTGAAGCCTCAACCAAAATGGGTTGGGTACTCACCTCTGGAACTCCGAAGCCAGGTACTGTGCTAAGGTTTCTGTGAAGTGTGCACCCCCAATGTTATCATTGGTGTTCGTTGAAAGAACTCGATACATCCCACTGTTAACTTCCATGACACTGAGCGATAAGGATGTTCCTCCAAGCTTAAATACCAAAACATTGCTTCAAGAGAGAAAAGAATGGATAACACATCCGAGGATCACAACATTTTAAAGCAGACCGTATTTTAGAAGCCTTTAGTCTGAATTTGTTTAAATTAAAATGAGGAAAGATTACAGCCCAGATGAGTTATCAGCTTGTCTCCAGTCACCAGTAGGGGACTCAGCCTTGAATTCACAATTTCTGAAGGACTAGACTTCAGGACACTAACTTTTCATGATTATTCATGATTATTATGAATCCAAATAGAATCAAATACAGAAATCCTGTTAATATTATACAAGTTACAACAACATAGTCTATGGATTCAAAACACAGCAACTCTCCACTTCTTGTATATCAGAATTCATAATTCTAATATTTTTACATTTATCTGGTTTACCGCAAGATGATTTCCTATGATTTATACACATTGGTTTCTCTAAACATGAGAAATTTGGATACAGTCAATTTGGAAAGGTTAGCACCATATCTAAACTTCCCTATCGTGTGGCCATCAACTGTTAACACCAATTATTTCTAAACATGTCTAAAACTGGAAGTTGCCATATGATCAACAGTGTTCCAGTGTCTGCTGGAAACTGGATCACTGTATAATTAGCCATTTCCACAACAAAATGAGGGGACGGAGAAGGCTCAGCCTCCCCTTGCCCTGCTTCCCCATCCCTCAGCTGCTCAGGCCTGTGTGAGCTTCCTGAGGAAGGGCTGGCACCATGCTGATGGACTGCTACAACCACACTGGAAACTAGAGGTCCATTCTTTACCTCTTCCCGGTAGGGCAGTCTTGTCCAATCCCGTAAGCAAGAAGAGCTGCAGATGGCTCGTGTACTAGTCTCAACACCTTGAATCCAGCGGCTCCAGCTGCTTCTCTGTCAACAATTTGCTCTCAGTGAATTTCACAGCATAGCATGCTCAGTCCTACACTTGTAGCTATGCTGGAAGGTTCCTGGACTAGCAAATGCTACTCCACGAGAGACAGTGCAAAGTAGAACACACGAAAAGGAGATGACTGGAGCTTACTTCCTGTTTAAAAATATACTGTTCAGAGCCTGTTTTCTTTCTTTCTTTCTTTTTGGTTTTTAGAGATAGGATTTCTCTGTGTTAAAAAGACCTGGCTGTCCTGGACTCACTTTGTAGACCAGACTGGCCTCAAACTCAAGAGATCCATCTGCTGATGGGATTAAAGGTTTGTGCCACCATGCCGGCCAGAGCCTGCTTTCTTGGCAACACAGTTTGTGCTTATATTGAATAAGAAAAAAATAAACCTGTCAGGGCTAGGAAATGGCTCAGTCAACAAACTGGCCTGTTGGACAGGCACAAGGCCCTGAGTGTGAATCTCCAGCACCCATAAACAACACAGGCGTGGCAGTGCATGTCTGTAATCCCAGTGCAGTGCAAGATCCTTGGAGCTTGATATCCAAGCAGCCAAGGCAAATGGTGAGTGCCAGGTTCAGTGAAACCTGTCGCTAGAGATAAGGTAGAAAGTGACAGAAGATGACACCTAGTGGGACCTCTGGCCTCCAAAGGTACCAGCAACAAATATATGTACTACACGCAGATATACACAAAAATAGAAAGAAATGGAAAAGTTAGCAGACAGTGCTCTTAACCACGGAGCCATCTCTCCAGCCATTTTTCAAAGTTCACTTCTGGGGAGCCTCCGGGCCCTGAAAGTCTAAGCTGCACCTTGTCTCCTGATTGTTCAGAACACATTGCTCTGAAGCAATACCACGCTGTCCTAACTAGCGTTAACTCTGAGGTCAGAGCTGAATCACACTCATCCGTGAGCACTCCACCCAGGACCTTATGAGGTAAAAGAAACCAGTCTTTTTGGACTGAACGAAGAAAGCGATTAAAAGCCCATGATTACACATTTTAGGAAACGATAAAAATGTCAAAAACATTGTGGAATTTTCCAGTTTCATTGCTCTGGGCCCACAGATAAATGCAGCAATTCTCTGCTTACCAGAGCAGAGGCGGAACTCTACCACAGAGTAAGGACAAGCGTGCTCACAAATTGTATTTCATGACACCTGTGAGGACCAAATCTAAGTTTTTGTTTGTTTGTTTTTTTGATGTTAAGAACTAAGATAAATACTTGTTTGGTTCCAAAAAAATCCCTTTTCCCAAAGTCTGGCATTTAGACAAAAGCCAGCATTCTCTCAGGAACTTGGGAAAATAACTTTACCTGTGAAATGAAGTACTCTCCTTGTCTCTGGCATTTCACTAACATGGCCTTTGGTGCCTATTATCACTCTCCAGTCAACAAGTACCTGCTACACACTGAAGTCCTCCACCCTGCTCAGATTCCTCTCCTCCCAGGTACCCATTTCCTCCAGAGCCCTGGAATCCTCCTCCCTCACTCCTTCCCCGAGAGACAGCTTCAGCGGTTTGGAATAAATTTCCTTTCATTCAGTAATCCTTTCTTTTTCTTACAACATTCATATGTATTCCTACATTAGCCTCAATTACATAGAACAAGCAAAGTGATTCATAAACAAGAGTGTAACCTGGTAGTTAAAACAGCCAAGAGGGCACATGGCATCTAACACTAAGTTCTCTTGGTGCTTCAGAAGAAGAGCTTACTGATATTACCATGAAGTACGTACACACGCCACTGTGCTGTCTAAGCGATTGATTTCCAAACACAACTTTACATTTTCTCAGAGTGTAATTTGTAATCTTTTAACTAATCAAGTTAAGACAGTTACACTTACCCCAGAGCAGATTTTTGCTTTTCTCCAAAATCAAATGGGACGGTAATAACTACTTCATTTGCATCTGAGCCCAAGACAGAATGTGCAGTTTCTGTACATTTAAAAGCAAACAAAATAATAATAAACTACTTCCTAATGGAAGCCAAAAATTTCCTCACTGAAAACGGTCCCAATTCTGCCCACCCTGCCCACTACCTCCTGTGACTTTTGGGTCATGCAGTGCTTTGTGTGGTTTTCATGGCTTATGGACCCAGAACCAGGGACTTTCCAAAGAACCTGGCTCTTCATCTTTGCATTATCAGAAATCTAAACTAGACTGGGCCCAGGGAACTAGTTTCAAAGACATGAATGTGAAGACATAAGAACTGCTTTGCCTCTCACAAGATTTCTTTCTTTTCCCTGGACAGGGTTTCTCTGTGTAGCCCTGGCTGTCCTGGAACTTGTGGAGAGGAGGCTGCCCTTGGCTTGCAGGAATTTGCCTGCTGGAATTAAAGGCTTATGCTAACACCGCCCACTGAACTAACTGAGCCTTGTTAGGAATATAAGCCAGAATTTCCCAAATTGTTCTACAAAGTGCTACTGACAAGCTGAGCCTTTGTCTGGTGTGGTGATGAGATCAGAGCTCATCATTCTGCCCACATCCCCATGGAGAGGGCATAGCCAGCCAACCTTTAAGTTCTGAGGTTATTAATATGGCCCAATCCTTTTACATTACAGCTTGAACATCTGGAATCTGCACTGCTTCAAAGCACTCCTCAACAAGTTTTTGATTTTGGCAAGTTTCGGAGTTCAGAAGTTTGGATTAGGGATTATCCTCACCCCTGCCACCAAGACAGGACTTCACTGTGTAGCACTAGCTGGCCTAGAACTAAAGGTGTGCACCAACATTCTACCCAAGGATTAGTGATTCTTTCTTTCTTGTTTTTGTTTTTCAAGACAGGTTTTCTCTATGTAGCCTTGGCTTTCCTGGACTCACTTTGTAGACGAGACTGGACTCGAACTCAAAGACATCTGCCTGCCTCTGCCTCCCTGAGTGTTGAGACTATAGGCATGCATTACTGTGCCCAGCTGGATCAGGAATTCTTAACTGGCAGGTTCTAGGTAAATATCCCCAAATTTGAAAATTTCTGAAGTTTTATATACCTCTGGTCCCAAGCATTTCAGGTACAACTTGTCCTTACAGGGAAGGTTAAGGTCAGAGCCAAGCAAATTCTAGTTTCGACCAAACTGTTAATTTGTGGAGCCACTTGATGTTTCCCTCCTCAAATATTTTAGTTTGTTTATGTGTGTAGTTTATGTGCCTAGAACTCTTTAAAGTAGGCCAGAATGGCCAGCCAGCAAGCCCCAAGCACACATCTGTCCCCAACTCCTCAGCACTGGGAACCACCTTCCCAAATCTTTAAGGTTAAGGGATCATTTAAAGTTAAAAGTTAGAGGCTGGAGAGGTGGCTCAGTGGTTGAGAACATGTATTGTTCTTACAGAGGACCAGAGTTCAATTCCCAGCACACACATCAAGTAGCTCACAATTGCTTCTAACTCCAGCTCCAGGAAATGTCCCAAACCTCAGGCACATGCACATACACAGCCATACACACATACATAAATAAATAACGATAAAAATATTAAAAAAGAACTTGCAAAATAAAATGTTAACAGTTAACTTTTGTGCAGTACCTTTCATTTTACTGAATATAAGTCTGGCAACATCTTCTGGATTAACAAATTTTGTTTCTTCTCCAGTATCTATTTCATATCGCAATTTTCCATTTTTCTCAACGACCTGAAAATTATAACAAATATAGAATAATCTAAATAAAACCTTAAATGCTTTCATTTAAGGTTCAACATTGTATGGCAAGACCTTTGGCAATTCATTACTTTGAGTAAGGGGGACAGAGAAAAAGAACCATACTCACTGAACATTTACTTTCCGAGATGTATTTCTGAGCTTGAGGATCAGCAGAGCTGTTCATAAAGAGATATAAAGATACCTCAGCATTAAAAAATATTGTAGATACATAAGGTTTAAAGAAGTCTGTACTTTTCACACCACTTAATAGATACAAAAATACAACAACAAAATTATTGAACTGCTCAATAGTAACACAGAAGCTTGAACTTAGGGAGTATTCACAACAGCTGTAACTGTTATTCATTGCACTTGACAGCAGTTAACTGTCTTGTTCTGACCCTGCCATACATTTTTAATGAGTTTGAATATTTTCAATGGACTTATACCCTACACTTTCAACCCTATGATCCTAAAGGTCCTACTGCCGAAATCCCAAGGACAAAAACTCAGGCAGGGTAAAGACCCAATGCCACATTTGTTGCTTGGTGTGTATACATGAAAATTATCCCAAACCAGAACTATGAATAGTGTATATGGAAAGTTGTCCTTTTTGTGAAGACACCAATAGACATTATAGATTAATGCCCCATATAAAATACAAATGAGTGCATCTATAAGATGTAAAACTGGTTATGTCCTAAGACGTTAACGCCAGTGTGTGCGGTTGCTGCTGCCCTGTTAGCACTGTAGACAACCATTCTACTTCTGTCCTCGTGCAGGCGGGAGCTCTTAAGTCCTTGGCTTAATTGCATGCAGAAATTAAAACAAAATAGTCTGCTCCTCTCTAGTAGTCTAAGGAGCTGTGGCTGTTCTCTACACAAAGTCGTAAAAGCTTAATAGGAGTTGAAAATTAGTAGTGGCCAACAGCAGGCCAGGGGACACTTGAGAACCTTAACCCCAGCCATGTAAGGGGACAAAAAGGGTTTAAATAGACTAATTTGGTTGAGAACTCTGGAATCACATGCAGGTTCATCTTACCTTTCTCCTACACCTTAAAACTGAAAATTAACCAGTCAGCTAACTAATGGTGTAACTGGCCAGCAACCAGATCTACAGTGTCAGCTTTAGTGTCACCCTCCCCCTCCAAACTGCCTGGTCTTCCTGTTTTCTAAACCATATGGATTTCATCCCAGATATTTTAAGGGAGGGCAGGAAAAGAAAAAACAAAATGTCTGCAGAGTGGGAATTTGTACTAGTTCTAAGTTCCGCATAATTCTCATGTGTTCAGAGCAGAAAGATTGACAGGAACTATCTACTGACTATGGAATGTAAGCTATTAACCAACAACATAGGGCCATTTTCAAGGAAGGCTATTTTATTAAAGTGTTAGAACTCTCAGAACTTCATGTTTTAGCTGTCATGCAGAGGGCCTCTTTCCTCTGAGGACAGGGTGCCCATATAGCACAGGGAGCAAGACACACAGAAACGACACTGGAGGCTCACAGGCAGACACACAGGAAGCAGGGTGAAGAATCAGTTACCATCACAGAGTAGTGGACAGAGGCACGACTACACACAAGTCAAAACTTTATTTGTCCACAGCAGGATTAAGTTACGTAGACAGAGAACAACAGTGGGAGGCTGGTACACACAGCGCCTCATTCACATTGTGCCCTTCCGGTGTCGGCCCTACCATCGCATCACAATTCTTACCAGCAAACGCCATGTCTACTTTCTCAGGCATCTCTCACAGTTATCAGGGTCCTGGGTTTGGCAACATCAGCACCGGAGTAGCATGGGGTCTTCCCCACTCCTGTTAAAGACCAGTGCCTACACATCTAAGTGTACATTCATCAGCGTGCTGGTCCTCACAACACCCCTGTGAGGTAGGTAGCATGGGCAATCGTTAGTTCCCACTTTAGGGAAAGAACCTGAGTTACAGGATGGTGAAAGGCTTGCTGGAGGAGGGAACAGGTAGGCCTAGGCTCAGGCAAGACCTCCAGGCTGCTTTCTCACGCTTGGCCCCCACCACTGTCTCCTTTACTGTTCTGCATGTTTTGTTAACTCCTCAGGACCTCATGGTTTATTCCCTTATTTTGGTTACTCTGTCCATTCAGGTTTTCAAATGCCTCAAATTTAACTTCACTTTTGTTCCTTAGCGTTTCTCCCATGTCAATCAGAGGTCCATCTATGTACTCTATCACCATTAGACTTAAAGTAGGTCTGTTTTCTGCAGAGAACTTATCTATATTAGCTTTATTTGGTTAAAACAGATATGCATCTTTCCACGTCATGGCCTAACCACAAGAGACAACAGACATGTATATATCCACTTCAATGAAAGAAAGGCATCTATGGATGTCCAGCATGATGCTTTGAACTTTCACCAACATATCAATAAACATCAATACTACAAAGGGTGCCCTTAAATACAATTGTAAACAGTACTTCAAACAGTTATAAATGGCTGCTGACTGAAAATACTATAAATAGCTCACCTCCATTTTCACCTTTACCATGTTATTTAAAGTTCTACAACTGAAAGGTACTATAAAAATTATCCAGTAGAAATTCTTCAATTTAGAGATAAAAGAAATTGAGGCACAAAAAGGGTAAGTGGTTCACCCAGTGAAAACAGCTATGACAGAACTGGAGTCAGGAGCTCTAACCAGACTGCAGTGCATTCCACAGCACACACGGCTCTTGCAGGCAGTGCTCATTCTTAGATTTATTTATTTTATTAAATGAGGGCTCTATCTGCATGTACACCTGCTTGCCAGAAGAGGGCATCAGATTCCACTATAGATGGTTGTGAGCCACCATGTGGTTGCTGGGAATTGAACTCAGGATCTCTGGGAGAACAGACAGTGTTCTTAACCACTGAGCCATCTCTCCAGCCCACCAGTGCTCACTCTTACAGCAGCTTGCTGTCTGTCACCTATTTATGGTTTCAGGGAGGTCCCAGCACTGCTTTGTCCTTTCCTTTACTAATCTACATTCCTAGCTTGGCACCCAACTACAATACAACTGGCCCCCTTGAAACAAACCTCTCCCAACATACCTGCTCATGTTTTCCCGAGCTTCCTAATTGCAGGAGGGCATTTAAATCCCCAAGATTCTTGCTGGTGTTCCTCGAGTACTACAGGACCCACCAAGACCCAGCCCTCGCAGTGCAGCGGGATGTGTGCCTGTGGCGTGAATGCACTTGCTCAGGCTTGTGTTGAAAGAGAGCTGTCCCCGGGCAGAGGCCTTTATCACCTTCCACAGTTCTCCAAGCTGACGGAAGGGCAGACCAGATGCTCTCTTCCACCACACCCACCAATCCTACCAACTCTTGCTTACAGCACTTGGAAAAAAAAGTTACTCTGGATCTAGGCTTGCCCTCAGTAACACCTTAGACACCAAACCCAAGACCAGCTCATGGAAACAAATGCAAGCAGCCACAGGCAGATTGGAAATGGATATAATCCAGTTTTTCCATGTTCAAATGGCAACCACAATGTAAACACAGGAAAGGGGCTCAAATAGTACAAAATGCAAAGAATTTACTTATACTCTCCACTTTATAAAACAGCCACTATTTTACCACATTGAAGTCTACCAATAGGAAACCTTTCCTTCCCACAGTGCTCAATCAGATCCTTATCTCCACAGAGACCAGGAACTACTAAAACTAAAGCAGGGAAGCTGCATAGACTAAGAGGAGGGCTTGCTAGTAGGTATGTCAAAGATACAGCAGTGAAAATGTAAGAGACAGAGACACAAATACAGCTGTGCCTAGACTAGTGAGCCACAGAGAGACTTAAGACCTTAAGATCTCAATCTAAGAGGCAAAGGAGTTAAACTGATAAAGATTCAAGCAATGAGGTCATAGGATACCGCTACACTTCTGTATGTTGCAAGCGAATGTGCTTTGCCCAGCTTCGCCTTACCAAAAGCATGTGTTAATAACTTACATGTGTATAGTGCTTTCAGACTTTAATCCTGTCACATCTATAAGCCACTTGATCCTCACAACAACCCTGTGAGGTAGGCAGGGCAGGAATGACTACTGATGCCCCTCAACAGATGAGGAAACTGTTACAGAGGTAAGAAATTTGCCTCACATTAGTGAGGAAGCCAGGACAAGCTAGGGAGTGGATTTGGCTTCTTCCGGTTTCTACTAGGCCACCCTTTCATTCCTCAAAGGCCTTCCCGTTAGTAGAAAATCTTAGGAAAAGGCACCCATCACTGTTCCACATATTACAGTTCATCTATTTTTTTTTTTCTGAAGACACAGAAAAGGAGCCAGGGTTCCAGAAGGCAATTGTTAGAAACAGACTTGTTTGGGAAACATCCATTTGATCAGTTCCTAGCTTTTGGTGTTTGAAATCAACCTCTGAAGTAACTTCTCAAGCCCTAGCTGAAAAGCACCAGTTGCTTCTTCCACTGCTGTTGCCAAGCGTCTGACAGCGATGACGGCATCCCTGCGCAGCTCATTGGCAGTGTCTTGTTGGGCACTGGCCTCCTCACCAATAGCAATCAGCCTGTCCAGCTTCTCTTCCTCTCTCCTGGAGAGTTCTCGTGCCAGCTTCCTGTTTTCTGCCAACTCAGCGGCAATGGTCCTGGCCACCGAGCGCCTTCTTCGCCTTGCCCACCGTGGAGGGGGCTCATTGGTCAGAGGTTTATCCCCACCAGAGATAAAAGCAATTGCGGAAGAGGAGCCTGGAGGTGTGGAGGCTGCCCCACGAGGGTTTCGGCTGGTGCTGATGCAGGGACTGGATTCCCTCGACACACCCAGTCTGGTCATGGGGATGCTCTGACAGGGAGCAATTGCACCTCTGAAAAGGTGGTGGGAGCTGCTGTAGCTGGGGGTCCCTTGAGAGCACCCTGAAAAACAAAGCCACAGTGTTGCAGAGAGGACATTCCGGCTAGGGGAATGCTTGCAGCCAGCAACAGAGTTGGGGCAGTTACAAAAGTAGGATAGTTCTTGGGAGGGCCTCTTTCTACAGGGGATAAAGGGAAAATGATTCTGTAATGTAGATATCCAGGCTCCTTTAATCTTCTATAAAACTGACCCCATGTGTTCCCAAAGACTCTTTCCATGGGGCTATCCATCCCATTTCCCCCTATGTATTCCTAAATACCCATTACAACTAATGCCCAGAGCCAGACATATTATTCAGGGTTGGAACACTTGGCTGACATACACAAATAATGCCCAGACTAACATGCTTTCAGAGAGTATGTCTTTATGTGTGCAGAGTTTGACTACATACCTAGGATCATAGCTAAAAACTTTGGTACTTTAAAGAGGGGGTTCAATGAGACAAATTAGTTATGCTCAAGAGGGTACTATCCCAGCTTTTAACACTATTTGGGACCAAGTGACTCTAAGACCCAGTCCCTCATGCTTGGGAGTTACCTGCACCCGAGGATTCATCCCAGGAGTCCTCAAGGTCATTGGCTTCTTGCATCCGGTCACTGATTCTCAGCTCACAATCCTCATCTGATTCCTTAACTGTTTGCAAAATATGCTGATGACCAGCTGCCTGAGTCCCTTTCACTTTCCGAGTGCTGGTTCCCTCTTGCCCTGGAGTGTCAGGAGCCACTAAATTTTGATCACAGTGCTTGGCCCAAGCAGCAGCCTCCATTAAGTTGTCTGGGTCAGTTACTATCTGATTTCGAAGAAGCTGATCCAACGTATCATAAAATGGACAGTGCGGTGGATCCCCCATACTTGTGGCATGGGCAACATAGGCCTTTAAGTACAATGCCTTCAGAACCTTAAACTTGGAGCGGCACTGGCGTTCGGTGCGGGGGAAGCCTTCCTGCTGCATCCGCTTAGACACGGCCTGATAGACATCTGCATTATGATGCATAGTCTGGAGACGCTGGATGTACTCTGCCTCGCCTAGTATGGAGAGAAGAGTTCGTGTCTCCTGTCTGGACCACCGGATGCCCGCACTGCTACTGGGGGTAGCCATAATGGGCCGGGAAGGAAGGCTACTGAAGCAAGCTCCTGGGTAGCAGGGTACAATTTTGAAGGCGTGGGGAAGCTCTGTGTGTTCTCAGCATATTTCCAGGAGCATCGGTTCTTTCCTCTCAGGGCTAATTGCTGAGAAGCCAGGTCTGAGGGCCACACTTCTGGCTGGAAGGCCACAGGGGAATGAGAGTTACAGGGAAGGTGTGAGGATCATCCTGGCAGCAAGATAAGCAGGGCTACCTGTGTGTAGGTCACAAAGAGGCACGTGGCCAGGCCTTTGGCAGTTCATCCATCCAGGGGAAGTACTGGACTCTGGCTGGGTAACAGATGGACTGACTCTCTACAAAGACTAAATACATCCAATGCTGAGACCTGATATAACCATGTTTTACAAAAACTACCATGGTCAGGTGAGGCAGAAATAACCCAAACATGAGGCAACTATCTCAAATGAAGTACCAGCAGGGCTGGGCTCCAGCGCCATGTCTGAGCAGTACTCAAGTTTTACTAATTTTAGCTCATTTATTGTGGTGTGCCTATGTGTTACCCATTTGACTTACTACTGCATTCTTGCTAAATGGATTTAACTTTCAAGGCCAGAGAAGTGAGCTTAAGCTGGTCTGCTAATAATATGTAATATAATAAATGACAGTCACAGTAGAATAAAGGAAAAAAGCCAAAACGTCACTGCCTTCCAGGGAATAGATATGGAAATGTTCTGTCTCGGTTGAATCAACATTAGTCCTAGTTGTGATACTTAACTACAGTCCTCCAGGATGGTATCATTGGGATTTAGATACACTGGTTGCCTTTGTTTTCTCTCACACGAAACTAAAATTATCTCCAAAGGGGGAGGGTTACTTAAACAGTTACTGGTTCCTCAGTGACTCTGGCTTCAAGATTTATCACAATTCCCCATTTACAATTCAAAAACATTTGATGTCTATTTTTAATATGCTTAACTATACCTTTTAATTTGCTTAGTAATAACTACTAAAGCTAAAGGATATGGAATATAATCACACACTCACAAAGATCTGAATTTGTTCCCAAATACTACGAAAACAAGTGCAGTGTACTAAACAGGCAAGAGCTATATAATAAACATGCATTTGTAAATGAAGTAGGTATTAACTTTAATTAACAATCTCCAAATATTAAAATCAATACAAGGAAATGCTTAATATTTACATTCTAATCAAATAAAGTAGAAAAGACAGAGTGGAGCTGAAAATTAAAAGTCCTGACCTTCAGGCTTATCTAATTCACCTTTTTAATTTGGTAAAGTCACAAATTTCATGTGCCTCGACTTCCTCATCTGTAAATATCAAAGGACAGTACCTGCCCAACTAATTTTTAAGAGGGTGTTGAGAAGATCCAATAGAATCATAGATGTGAAAGCACTCAAAACACTGTCAAGTACTACTACTCCACCAAAAATCAAAGGGCCCTAATTTTTATTATGATAATCTATAATTTGAGGAGACAGAAGTCTGGGAAAGCAAGCCTCTACAATCTTCTAATTAAAGTCACAACTGATGATTGACCTGCTTAAGCTATTACCTAAGCTGTTTCTTCAACATCTGTGAGTCAACTGGAAAAATCAGTTCCCAGAAAGTGTCACAGAGGGCCCCCAGGAGGAAAATCAATAGCAGCTACCTACATTATGACAATAGTAAGATATTTTGCAATACTCAGTCACCATGCAGAGAAACCTTCAAATTCCAACAAAATTATTCGAGTTGACTCAGTTAAAAAATATATATATATATTAAAATGCAAAGATTCCAAAGTACCACTTGTGACTGACACAAATGACTAAACGTAATGACCATTGGCATTAATACTATCAGATTTGTTAGCAAGAAGCAAATTTCTGAGCAAATCCAATGAAATGACCATCATCAAATAAACCAAAGTGTCTCCAGTGTCATTTGAGTTAAGTCTAGACTTACAACATACACATTTTTTTTTGTTACCACATCTCAGAGCACGTTATATCATACCTTCTGCCAAGGATCTGTTTTACTTTCACTACTGTGCTTGAAATATTTCTTATTCTACTTTGTTTTGCTGCCAGTCCAACCACCTGGAAAAAAAAAAACAAAAACGTATTAACTACAATTCATGTGATTTTTCATTATTAAGTACAAAACTGAGGGCAACAGAGAGTACCTGCTCATTTTCAGAGAAAGCAACGATGGCTGGTGTGACTCTGTCCCCCGCATCGTTCGCAACCACGTCGGCCCGACCGTCCTAAGGAAAGACATGGAAGGGTTAAGTTCTTTCCCATTGGAACACCAATCTCACCCAATGTATCTGCAGGTTGAGTAGATTTTAGAAGAGCCATTGTACCTGGCATTTACTCCAGGAGTGATGGCCTAAATAATAAGTGATTGTTATCTGGGATTTTCAGGTTTGCTCTTCCTTTGGGAATTTCCGAGCCTCTGCATGATCTCAGCCACAAGACATTCCTGGCAAAGTAGGAATTCTCGCAATGACTGATAATTTCTTAGGTAATGGTTCCTTCAGACGACTCCTATAGCAGATAAGGGGCTTTGGTATTCTGGAATTGCCTTGCTAAAAAGCCTTTTGTGTAACAATCAATAAAAGCGATTCTGCAAGGCTACCGGGGGTTCAGTCCTCGGAGACTGCTCCAGCCTGCTGCTTGCAAAGCCTAAGTCCCATAGTGTCTCTATCTTCGATTGTCCTTCCTAACTCAGAACACCCGACAGCAGGTAACTTTGGCATTTATGCCAGTATTACTTTGCCATCTATGTGGAAAGAAAAACTGGCATATCAATCTTTTAACTGTCACTATTAGTTTCTTAGAGTTTAATAAACGGCCTCTATGCCACGAATTTCTCTCCCGGTTAGTTCTGTACAGTAAACTGGATCAAATATAAACATTCTGTACACAATAATGAACAAGCAGGGTAACATGATTCTCCCACACATGAACTTTCCCCCACTGCTCTCCTACAAATGCAGCAGCTAACCCCTTGGGACTTTCCTTATAAATCACGTAAGGCTTAAACCCGAGGCTAGCAGCGGCTAAATTGTCATTGTTCCTCCTGCCCCGATATTCAGGAGAAAGAAGTCACAGCTCTTTGTCAAATTCTCAGTTCTAGAACCATCAAGTGCGTACAGCAGCGTCAGCTCTTCAGCAGGTACCCTTCTCTCCGCTTAAGTTCCACAGCGCTTCTGGATGCCCAGAAATTCCAAAGACCTCCCACCCCCGGGAGTCCCGGGCCCATGACGTCACCGTCACCTCCTGGGAACTTCGCGGTCGGTCGTCACTCACACCCCTCCCGCCTCCAGGGCGTCCGACAGCCACGCTCGTTCCAGGCATCTTCCTAAGAACGCTGTCCCCCGCCCCGGGGGCTCCTCCAGGCACCACGATGCCTGACGTCTTCTGACCCCTCCTGGACAGCCTAGGGCCGGATCCTCCTCAGTGCACCCTGCAGGCTCGAGGTCCGGGAGACTCTCCGGGTACCCCGTGGCCTTCCCGTCCCTGGACCTCCTCAGAGCAGGCTGCAGCCCCAGAGTCCCAGGACGGCGTCCCGGAGTACCCGAGATCCCCTCCGCATCCACCCTCCAGGCAGCGGGCTTGGCCGCGGAGGGCGATCCAAGAACCCGGGCCGACGCCCCGGAGCCAGCTTCCCAGCCTCACCTTGTAGACAGCCACACAGGCCGACGTGCAGCCCAGGTGCACGCCGATCGCCGCCATGAGGCGGCGGAGACCGCGACAGCGCAACGAGGGGCCGCTCGGTGGCCACAGCCACCCTCCTAGGAACAAGCCCGTCAGGCACTGCGGGGACTTCACGTTCCCGCCCGCACGGCGTCCGGTCGCTGCGCCGGCCTTCCGAGTCTCAGCCAATCAGAACAGCGATCCCGCCCTCCTCCACAGCGGATAGCCAATAGTTTTAGCGCAGCGCTCCGCGCTCCTTTGCAGCGCTCCGCGTATGCCGTCATGCGCACGCGCAAGTCGGAAAGGCCCGGAAAAGCTTCATTAGCTCCGCCTTTTCCTTAGCCTAGTTTATAAGAGCCAATGGGCACGCTTGTTGCAATTGCGTCACTTGTTTCCTGCCTCTGGTTGTCCCTCAAGAGATAGCCTCGGGAGGTGCGGGCAGTCCCCGGTACCAGGCTCAGCATGAAGTGCCGCAGCCCAGCTGCCCTCGTGACCTTTTGCACCGGGCTTTGGATCTCGAACCCTGTGCTGGCTCAGGGCCTGGAGACCGGTGTGCGGCCGGGGGCTGACTGTGAAGGTGAGCGGTGTGTGACCTGCTTGCATGGCGGCTGCACACGCTCAGCCCAGCTGTTATCTAAGCAGCTTCACCCAGGCTGTAAATAACATCTCACCCGAGAAATGCGGCTCAGTCAATAATTTCCCAGCCTAAGCAAAACTTGACTTGGGCCCAGTGACACTTGAAGACGCGTTCTGCTTTTGCTGTCAATATTAAGTTGGCTCCGGAAACGGAGTGCCTTAGGATTCGCGGTAGATTTTATGCAAGTGACCTCACTGCCGACTTGATTCTGTTGCTCTTACCCGGGGAACTTTCCTCCCAGAGCAGAAGACATATCTTGAGGTTCAAACTATTTGTCGCTCCCAGAAGGAAAATAAAACATGACAATCATGATGAAATCAAAGACAAAGCTAATGCTGGTTAGGACTTTATAGACAGAAGTTGCTTCACACACAAAGGAGCACGTTAACTCCTTGAGAAGAGAAAGATAAAATAGAAAGATGCCTTTTGTTCTCCTGTGGACTTGGCGATCGGAACACCTTCATCCATTCCGCCAACCCGCCTGGATTTGAGGGAGTTGTAGTATCTAGGTTTTACAGACACACACACACACACACACACACACCCCTGCACCACCACCACCACCACCACCAACAACAACAAAACACTGTCTTTTCTAAATGTACTCCAGCCTGTTGTGACTATTAGCTTGCACGTCTGGCTAACCCACTAATGTATTTCATTTGCTCAGAGAGGAGGCTGCTACTCACACAGGCAGGAATTATCATGGAACAAGAGTTGACTTCTGGATCGGGTTCTGACACTGCTTATTAACCTTTCTATTTTATTTATTTTATGTGTCTGGCACAAGTGCCACAGTGTATGTGAGGAGGTCAGAGAACAGAACCCTTTCTCTCCTTTCACAGATGGAGTCCTAGGTCTCAAACTCAGGTAGTCAGACCTGGCAGGCAGCTCCTCTATCCACTGAGCCATCTCACCAGCCCTTGTGATTCTGTCACTTAATTTCCTATCCGTGTATAAGATTAAAACACTGGATTATACTGCATATAACACACTCTGTATTGTATGGCATATAATAATCCAGTACACATATTATAATACAGCAGTGGTAAAACATATGGTCATGGGCCACTTTCAACCTATCGATGTGTTCTGGCTTGGGGAGGTTTTCAAATTGCCATTCCTATTCATTTTGCTGACGCAGTCCCTGTAGACAGTTTAGTTTCTGAATCTTGTGGTTAGGTAACTTGAGGTTTCCAGAGAAAACAAATATTTCCAGATCTCTTTAAAAGGATTTTATTATAGAACTTAAACTATTTTGAAGTCATTATAGATTGATGTATGACACTACTTTAGTAAACAAAGAAAACCCTGTAGAATGAATGATGTCGTATCAATACACACAAGGCCGGAGCCTTAAGTTACCAGCTTCAGTCATCTTTGCTGAGGTTATTAGAGAATCACCTCATGTAAGCCCAAGGATTGAACTCAGGCTTCTCTGTGACACTTGACACTATTGTTAGAATTTTTTTCTTTTCAGAAGCTCATGCCTTGATGGCATTGACACTGCTGTTACTCTTGTCTTTGCCTTCTGTCACTGCAAGTGTCTTTTCAGATTTCTTCATGTGCTTCTAGTCCTCTAGCTATGGCTGGCTTTTCACTCCCTCTCTCCTTCTCTCCCTTCTCTTTTCTTCCTACCTACCTCCCTTCCACTTTCCTTCTTCTTCCTTCCTTCCTTCCTTCCTTCCTTCCTTCCTTTCTTTCTTTCTTTCTTTCTTTCTTTC